ATAGAATGTGTCTACAGTAACAGTAGAAAAGTCATTTTGTGCTAAAATAAATGGTGTACATCTCTAGAGACAAAATTATTAGAGGGAGAAGAAATTCTCATCTTTAGGAAGCGTATCCAACTTCATTTCTGAGCTACACACTCATTATTATTTTATTTAAATAGAAAGAAGTAGGATTGTAATCATGAAAAAGCAAGAGAGTGGAGAGAAATTGGAAAAAAATAAAACAGAAAATTAAGCTGAAAGGTTCATAGACTTCTCTAGCTGTGTTCCTAATTTATTATGCAATTAAAGAATTTATTTCTTCACTACCAAATCTCCAATTGCATAATCATTCTTAATTAAGAAGTTATAGCATCCTTCTGTTGCTACTATCACCTTTAACTCGTCTAGAATGGAGAAAATTTACAGACAAAACTATAACGATTCCTCTCCAGCATCTAATGAGCAAGTTTACAAAATTATCAAGCTTAAAAATTGTAAATTTTTTAATCGAATTTTATTAAAAGGTAACTAGAATTATCTCTGTTCTAATTGCTTTTATAGATTTATTTTGCTTTTATCAAATAATTTATTTAAATTTTAATAATATGAACGTTTAAATGTATACTTTTTCATAAATTATCATAAATGAATTTAAAATTATTGGTAAGAAGATAGATTTATCATCCAGGGAAAGTAAAGAAGTGGAATGTTAAAACTTTGTAAACAATAACTCGATTTATCTAAGAAAAATTTCTTTTGTTCGAAATTTATCAAATTATCTTTCTTATACTCCACGTGGATGCAGATTAATGAAAGGATAAAGATCAATGAAGATGAATCGCTCTAAGTAGAATATATTTGATAAATTCTTTTTAAATTAAACCACTTAGAAATGCTTAAATTCCTGTTTGATTTTCTTTACAACTTAAGAAATCATCTTTTTTCCTGCATAATAGTGTTGTTTTAATGCATATTACTATATTTTCGAGATCTAAATCATGTAAGAAAATAATTTTCCCTATTTTAAAAACGGTTTTTTCTTTATAAATGTAAGAAAATCCTTGTAAGATTCCTTCGAAAACCTACTGACAAAATCACAGAGAACTGTAAAAAAATTTTAGTAATAATCCTAGAAACTTTAAAGTCCTAGAGAATGTAATACGAATCTTAGAGCAGGTTCTAGTGAACTGTAATAAAAGTTCTAGTGAGATTTCTGAAAAACTATAACGAGTCCTAGAAAGATTCCCAGAAAACTGAATAAGCCTTAGAGAACTGTAATCAGTCATTTTACGAGTTTTAGAGAAATGTAACAATTCCTAGTAAGAGCCTTAGAAAACTGTAACATGAAATCTAGAACTAGTCCCAGTAAACTGTAACGAAAATCTTAGTAAGAGTCTAGTAAAAGTCCTGGAAAACTAACGAGTATTACTAGGAATCCTAGTAAAATGCCTAGAGAACTGTAAGAATCGTGCTAGAAGTCCTACAGAATCAACTTGGACAAATTATATAAATGATACCTTAGAATTGAAAAGGTTGCAATCTTCCCAAAGATATTCTAGAAGGGATTTAAAGTGAAAACGAATTTAAATATCTATTTTTATAATTATTATTTATCCAAATAGATTAATATTTTCAAAGAATAAAAGAATTTTTACTCTCATTTATATTATAGTCTCTTTAGAACAAATTCAATTTATTATCTCGAGACATTTTTTTTTCCTAGGTTATAAATTAAATTTCCCGAAAGATGCTTTCGTTGTAGATCGATTGTAACATCTTTAATGCCTTTATATCATAAAAATTTACTGTTGTAAACCAATTTTCAAACAATATAAAATTTCCAAGTTGAATTTGGAGGAAAAAGAAAACTTAAAATCATTTTTAAATTAATTTTAAATATTTTTAATATATTTTTATCAAAATAAAAGACGATGTTTTCATTTAATTTATTTATAAAAATCTCATCGATCAATAAAAAAAGTTGGAAATGAAAAATTTTATTATGTTTACTCGTGTTTTTTCCATGATATTTTAGAGTTTTGATGTTAAATATTTATATTTTTTCTTTGAAATATATTTGTAAATATTTAATTTTCAGATGAAAAGAAATCCTCCTCTGAGGATCCTCCGAATAATTTTCTCTATCTTATCTTTGAACGTCATCTTCATCACTCTGGTCAACACCGTTAAGATTTGTTAATATTTTCCAAATACGAAAAATTTTGAAAAATTTTTCAAGAAATTTTAAATTAAATTTAAAATTTGTCTTCCAGAAAAAATAAATATATGCATGAAAATTTAAGCACAAAATTATATTCTGTATTAGAAATAAGCAGATTTTAAAAATTAAATATATTTTTCACTTAATTTTGCATGAAAATTAGAACAAAACTTGGTAATTTTGTACTAATTTCATATAATTTTAAGTGATATTTAAGTAAACAGCACGTAAAATAGTATAAAATTAGTAAACCAGTATCGAAAGTAGTACTGTTTTAAGAACAAAAATGACAATTAAAATTTTACTTATGATTGATTACAGATTCACTTTTTATCTTTAATGTCTGGATAATTTAACAATTATTTAAAGATTTTTTAAGAAAATCTTACGAGATAAAGAGCTCGATAATTGAACTGTTTGATTGTTTTTAACAAAATTTACAATTCTTTTTGATAATTTAAAACTCTCTTGAGAGATTTATTTACATTAATCTTGTCAATATTTACATAAAAAAGCAATTTGATAATCGTTTTTAAAGTAAATTTTGTTACAAAACGCCTAATTAACTTGAGAACCTTATCATGCATCTACTATATGTAATTTGGTAAATAAAAGATTATTTGATAAATATAAAATTTATTTAAGTATTAAATCTAAAAATTGTGTTATTTATTTACATAATTGTTGATTTTTTACGATATTTTAATGGAAAATTTACTTATTACAAGAAAACATCGACTTAATTCTACAAATTATACTTCACATCCTTTTCTTTGTAGCACAGAAACCTTCAGGAAAAGAATCATTTACAGGGGCAATTCCTCTTTACTGACAACTGCTCGATTTAAATTTAAAATCTAAAGAAAATTTTAATGCGGGGAATTCCCATAGATTTCAATTTCGTAAAAAGAAACGATAATTTGATAGATTTTAGAATATTTGATATGATAAGTCGTGTCAGAGGAGTGAAATGCTGTTAACATTATTTGTAACGAGATAAATTGCCTCCGAGGTATGAGACGGGTCAGGAGAACAATAAAATACATCAAATGACATGGAAATTGTTGTCAACCATTGAAAGAACAAGGATATTTATCTCGAGAAGTGGCAAGTTTGGGGTAACATCATTAGGGAAATAAAATAAAGAATCGATTTTAGCTGTATCAGTTACAAAAACAGCTCTACAATAGAAATTCGCCTAGAAAGTATAAAATTCTAGAATAATTCCGTAATAAAATACTATTACCTAAATTATTTTACATGATATATTTTATTTTTGAAGTGTCACCATAAGAAAATCTCATAAAGTTTTCGACTAAGTTGCACTTTTAAGGCTCACAGTAATTATTCTGTGTGGAAATTGCTTGTAATCTAAAATCATAAAATTCTCAAATTTCTCGACAATGAGTGAGGACAATAATATGTTTTCTAACAACAAAACTCGTTAGTGTTTCCTAAATAGAAGCGTCTGATGTTGAAAATCGATAAAATTTGACATCATTTCTATCGTTGTAGAGACAAGAGTGATGTAAAAATCCAGGATATCACCAAGATTGAAAGGATCCTATTAATAAATATAATATCTTGTTTAATATTAATTCGATAATGATGCAAATACATGGAATTAATACATAATTTTAACAAATATCGACAAATAAATTGTAAAAGATAGACCTTTGCCCTTCAAGTCGCAATTACATCAACGATTAATTCGATTAGACAGCGTTACTACCAACATAATTTAGTCGTAATTAAATTATTTTAAGTATTAGAGGAGTAATTCTAATAAAGAGTGAATGAACGTCAAACTCTTAAGGTAAATTTTAAATAAATAATACCGCTAAAGCATTTATTATTGAAATACTGCATTAATACAATATATATATAAATGACATGGAAGAGTATGAGATTTATCATCCCTGTCTAAGTTTACTTCTTATAATTTTTGTGGGCGTTCATCTGCTCCTGTACACGAAATAGGAGGTCCTACATAATCACTTAATAAGGGGTTCCTTGTTAAAGTAATCACTGTAGCAAAACACTAGAAGAAGACTGTAGAGAAACTCGATACAAACTCGTATTATGAGAATTTGTGTCGTAGAATTTCTTATTGTATGTTTCAACTTTCATTGTAACGTAATCTATAACGAATAATTCTATATATAATTATGTTTCGTTTGCAGAATGGCGCGTTGGAACAATGGAGAGGATGGTCTAAAAGTCAATTAACCGAGAAATCCTTTTTTTCTCTTTTATATTTTATACAGAATATCTCATAGAAAACGTGGAATATGGGAAAATTTTAGTGTTAGGTAACGTAAGAGAATCAAATTTAGGCAAAATTCAGTTTGAAAAGAAAATAAATTTATCATTTTTCCAAAAGAATTGCGTTTTTATAGTTCTATTGATAGAAGCATCTTGGGAATTGAATTATTATAAAAAGAAAAATAATCGTCGACGTAAGTAAAATGCAAATAAACGAAATTTTATAAATTTTAATCAGATTATTAAAGAATACAATGGCTTTCGAATTTACATTTATACGAAAATAAAATAATAAAATCAATTTTTATGGTAACAGAATATAGATTCGCTGCTATTTCCTTGAATTCATTCACCTTAGAAATACATTTACCATTTTTGCACCATAAATCTTAATGTTGTATAAAAGATAACTTAATTATATTCGTCTTGATTGTGTTTTAAAATAGTAAATTCAATCATATTTATTAAAATTATTTTTAAGAATTTAATTAAGGTAATAAACAATTTATTTTCTAATATTTATTTTCTGACAGAATTCTCTATGTTTATTACTTAACAATAACATTAATAAGTGTTTGATTTATTAATCCCAAGCTGCAGAACATTAAGGTTTTGTGACTGATGGCATTTCGATCCATTACTGACGAGTCCGACCCGCAATGAGGTGGACCAGAATGATTGAAGGATGAGGAACATTACTTGTGATGCCAGATCGAATTCGAATTCCAAACTCTTGCGGTGATTGTAGAATTTACGCCACCAGCAACAGCCGAGGGACGAGCCTGTGCGAAAGAGAAGGAATGGTTGGCTGATTCGTGCTACCAGAACCTACCATTGAATGAATGGATAATGCTCGATCAATGGTGTACCGAAACATTAGTAATTGGTGGTGAGTTGGCGCTTTGTCAACGGGCTGACAGCGTAGAGTTTTTCGGGTTTTCTTGACGTGTCCAACACTAGAACAGAAGCCAGTTTGCCATAAAAGTCTTCCCGAAATTCATTTCCTCTTAGCGGGTCTCTAAAAGAAAATATCCCATCGAGTCTGTCGCCAGATTCCTCATATTGATATAACTTACGTGATTCGAAATGGAGGTTGTCAGCAAAAGTTAAAGATGAAGAAAAAATGCTCATTTTACTAGAAATACTCGACTGGATTCGAATTCGGATTCTTCGTGACGATAGTAGAATTTTTCCTATATAAATTTTGAAGTAAGCAACAATAATTTTAAAATTATTGTATATATTTAATCTGAAGTAAATTTACATTTGAAAATTTAAAAAATACCTAACATAAAATTACGTTACTATTCTCTTCTACGATATAGCCTAATAGTTAGCATTACTTCTGTAATACAAGTTTTATTTAAGCATAATAATAATTTCTTTAATTTCTATTGTTAACAATGCGTTGTTTAAATGTCAGTAATTAAAAATAGAAACGTTTCGAATGATTCGAGTTGTTTCTTTCACACGATTTCAACATGGCTCGAAATTTGATGTTTTTAAACTCTTTCCACCCCGCGGGCACTAAGAGGCCCTCTTTTTAGCAGGGTTGGGCCAGGCCCAACATATCCGAACAGACTACCAAAAATTTTCTGCGAGTTTTCGATTCCGGGTCCCCCAAAGCGATAGGCCACTCGGTCCTCCAACCATTCGTGGCTGGAAACCGAATTACCAAGAATTAAGTTTCTGACTTATTGCAGACAAATTTAAGTAGTTTCTTACATCATATTTTAGCAATAGATCTACAAATCTTGTCACTTATTCGACACTAACTTAAATAAACTTATGATAAAATTCAAGAGTAAAACTCATATTACTAACTGTTTGGCGGTATTTAAATATTTATTCATATTAAGACAGCTTTATTGCTTTAAAGTGCAAGATTGACAACCTTAATGGGAATCGAATTTCATTAACCCAAAACATTTTGAGACGTATTACGAGGGCTGCCAAACGTCAAAGAACGAACTTAAACGCCATATGCAAAGGCTTTTGACTTTATAAAAAATGGCAGTTTTCAGCGCCATCTATCATTTGGTAATGGAAGTAATTGCCATCAATAAAATTTCCTCGATAATTGGCTTTTTTATTTCGTAGTATATTCTAATTACCCTCTGAAACACATTTCCCGCTAATTTTATGAAAATCAAATTATATAATCAGATATAACGTGGAAATAAAAAGTCTGTTATGTCAATCGATTGACATTATGAAAAAAGAACGAGAAGGCTTTTCCTTACATCTTAATGTAAAGATGCGCAGTTATTACGACATTTCCTAAGTGAACAATTGCAATTTCCGAAATTCACTCTTACTCGACACCCATTCTCTTTCCTTTCGGATCACTACCGGCTTTGATTTTATGAGAAATACCATTGATAATTAAAAAAATACTTTTATCGGTGCCTTTCTACATTTAAAAATTCTAATTTAATACATATTTTACTTAGAAAGGCAATATTTAAAAGTCTGTAAAGTTGTCTTCTCCTCATTACCACGATTAGTTGATCTTAATACGAGTTTTTCTTCCTTTGCTGTATTTTTATAATAATTATAAAAAGTTTATTTTAAAAATTTATAAAAGAGTATTTTTTTACTGTAAAGTGCTTTGACGAAGAATAAAGAAGATGGCAATCGGATTTTCAATTTCCAAAATTTTATAACCGAAAATAAAATAATTGGTTCTGTTACGAAGACTCTAGAACAATCTAAAAATATATTATCAGCACTTTTATAACGAATTTCTTCTTATAAAAGTTACAAAAATGATCATTTCGAAGACGATAATTGGATATTTGATAAACTCTTTCTGAAGTCTTCTGGCTTTAGCCATAATATTTGCATCCAAATCGATAGTAATTGATTTCAAAAGAGAAAAATATTCAATTATCTGTAATTTCTACTCTATGGGCTTATAAGCTGATAAAATATAAAATTTCTTCAATATTTTTGTATATACGACAGAAAATGTATATCGAAAATACAGAAAAAAATGTTCATTTTTGGGGAATCCTAAATGTGTTCTACGCTATTCTTTCTAGCTTCGCTGAACTTTTTGCTTGAAAAATAGTAAAATTTCGAATTTTTTGATATATTTAAAGTATAATTTAATTATTTTTTGAAATATTTTAAGAAGTTAATGAAATCGGAACAGTTGAGACACTAAATAAATATCGTTGCCTCATATTGCCTCAAGTATCGCCCATTTGCAGGCTTTCATTCAATTTGGCACTCATTTTAGAGTAGCCCTGCTGTTTTAAGACGAACATTCAGTTTAATCACATTGATATCGGTTGGGCATTCAGTATAATTATACTACTGTAAGATGGGTGTCAAGCTTAAACGACTACTCTAAGATGGATCTCAGGTTTAAGAAGACTGATCTAAGGCGGGTGTCAAGTTCAAGTATGCTATTCTGAGATGAATGTAAAATTTAATAATGCTTGTAAGATTGGTATTGAAAAATCTACTCTAGGATGGTNAGGGAAAAAATTAATAAAATAAAGAAGATAATACAAATAAAGAGCGATATTTAGAGTAGACCAAAAGTCAGTTAACTGAGGTGCGTGTATTTTAATACATATTGGTTAATTAATTTTTGACCACCCTTTACGCATTTATATATGTATATACGGGCACAACGGAAAAACAGAAATTCACCGAGCTATATTTCGTTTCGATGTATCTCGGTTAATTGATATTTAGGCCACCCGTATATAATTAATTCGAAGAACTTCTATATTCATTTATTTAAAAGAAGAGAGAAAAGAGGAGGGAATGGGGTATGAATTGAAGACAGAAAAGTGAGAGGCACGAAAGAGAGACGAGGAAGAAGTAACAGAGAAAAGAGAGGGGAAGAGAACAGCGGCAGAAGAGAGAAAAGTGAGAAAAGGAAATAAGAGAGGGGTGAGGAAGAGAGGGGGGAGAAATAAGAGAGGATTAAGGAAGAGAGAAAAAAGAGAGAGGAAAGCAACTGAAAGAGAAGAAGAGTGAGAAAGGGAAGATGGGGATGAGAAAGAGAGAAAGAAGAGACGAAAGGAGGGAACAGAGAAGAAGAAAGAAGAGACCGAAGAGAAGACAAAAAAAGAGGAGGGAGAGAGAGAAAGTAAAAAGTTTAACGATAAAATTGAACACTTTGCACAGACAAAAATAACGATTTTATTTTAAAAATTTATAAAAGAGTATTTTTTTACTGTAAAGTGCTTTGACGAAGAATAAAGAAGATGGCAATCGGATTTTCAATTTCCAAAATTTTATAACCGAAAATAAAATAATTGGTTCTGTTACGAAGACTCTAGAACAATCTAAAAATATATTATCAGCACTTTTATAACGAATTTCTTCTTATAAAAGTTACAAAAATGATCATTTCGAAGACGATAATTGGATATTTGATAAACTCTTTCTGAAGTCTTCTGGCTTTAGCCATAATATTTGCATCCAAATCGATAGTAATTGATTTCAAAAGAGAAAAATATTCAATTATCTGTAATTTCTACTCTATGGGCTTATAAGCTGATAAAATATAAAATTTCTTCAATATTTTTGTATATACGACAGAAAATGTATATCGAAAATACAGAAAAAAATGTTCATTTTTGGGGAATCCTAAATGTGTTCTACGCTATTCTTTCTAGCTTCGCTGAACTTTTTGCTTGAAAAATAGTAAAATTTCGAATTTTTTGATATATTTAAAGTATAATTTAATTATTTTTTGAAATATTTTAAGAAGTTAATGAAATCGGAACAGTTGAGACACTAAATAAATATCGTTGCCTCATATTGCCTCAAGTATCGCCCATTTGCAGGCTTTCATTCAATTTGGCACTCATTTTAGAGTAGCCCTGCTGTTTTAAGACAAACATTCAGTTTAATCACATTGATATCGGTTGGGCATTCAGTATAATTATACTACTGTAAGATGGGTGTCAAGCTTAAACGACTACTCTAAGATGGATCTCAGGTTTAAGAAGACTGATCTAAGGCGGGTGTCAAGTTCAAGTATGCTATTCTGAGATGAATGTAAAATTTAATAATGCTTGTAAGATTGGTATTGAAAAATCTACTCTAGGATGGTGTGAAGTTGAAGTGTGCTACTGTAAAATGGATGTCGTTTAAGAAAATAGTGTCTAAGGTGATTGTCAAGTTGAAGTAACAAAAAGATTAACTGGATAAGTGGTTAGGAAAAATACACTCGAGAACAATTATCCTCCTTCTCTTTATACAGTAAGTAGATCCTGTTTTCGTGTATCAAGTTTTTGCCATTGATACGCGATGATAGGCGATGGCAGGCGTTGATCTCGGGGTCAAAAGGCGGAAACTCAATAAAAAGCGATTGGCTACTATTTTATTTTAAAAAAGAGAGAATCTAAAGGATATTTTAAATAAAAAAGTTAATTTTTAATAAAAGGCTGAACTTTTTACATATTGATACAACATTTTTAACGAGATTTTAGCTGCGGAAAGCTATAAAAGTAGTATTTACAGTTATAAAATACTTATAAAATTAAAAAAATACATATTCAAAAATTGCTCGTTTCTGCAAATTTTCTAAAGAAAAGACAATAATTAAATACTTTCTTCAATTTTTAATTTTAAAATAAAACAAATTTGGACAAATCTAATTAGGAAAATAAATCTCTTAATCAAAGAACAACAATTCAATAAATTACAGAATTAATTAAATTAATTCTTTTAGATTTTTTAAGTGTAAATTGTCATTTTTTGACTCGTTTCGTAAACGTAATTTACAAAATAAAATAATTTACACTGTGCTTCAGTCGTTTTAAGGATCTAAAGTTTTAGGGCCTCTCAATGGAGGCCCTCAGATCAACCCACTCAGGCTTCATGTTCACTTATTGTTTGAAACGTTTCAAAAATGCAATACAAATTTAAAAAATAACTGTTTTGTATTTTAATTGTTTTAATTGTACTAGGACCTCATAAGGGTAAATGATCGAGGCCTTTTTTGACCTGAAAAGGCTCTATAGAATATTTTATATATTATTGTAGTATATATAGTTCTTACAGGCTCGAACAGTAGGTTCTGGAAACAAACAAGGCCCAAAATTCTCGTATAGTTTATGGCAGGGGGTGGCCAACCTTTTTAGCTGGCGGGCCAAATTTCAAAAATAATATTTCCTGCCGGGCCACGCACCAAATTTTTTTAAAATTAAAGTAAACAAGCAAGCGTGCTACACCTTCATCCGCATCGTTGCTTTCCAGTAGGTGAGATCGTGGTCAAACACTTGCCTGATTTAATGTAAAAAAAAACAAAAAAAAGGTATATTTATTTTTTTGAAGAAAATAAAACATAACCGAGAATCATTTATTTAATAACCGAGAAACATATTTATTAGACAATTTAAAAATTTGACTTTG